AAATGGTTATACTTATATGAATAGAAAGTAGGGGTGTTCTAATGACTTGGAAAAATACCAGTTTGTCTCACATGTCCATAATTAATTCATACTTAGTTAAATTAGAAGAGAATTACCAACAGAATTCCAATGAGTGACCGATCAAGAAAGGTCAAAAAGTCTTTTTTGTTTATCCAGACAGTACATACATGGACATTTATGATTGGTTAAAACTCTTAATTATATGCAATAAGAACATAATGATATGATTAAGAATACATGATAATTCATTAGAAAAATCAATTAATCAAATAGTTTGCATAATTTGACATTAAAAAAAACAAGGAAACCCATCTTTAAAGGAATGTCAGATCAGTAATTTTTCAAACTGATATCCTGTAAACCAATTCATTCATTCATTCATTTACTTAACCCTTCATTATTCATTCATTCATCCATTTGCTTATCCCTTCATTATTCATTCATTCATTTACTTAACCCTTCATTATTCAATCATTCATTTACTTAACTCTTCATTATTCAATCATTCATTTACTTAACTCTTCATTATTCATTCATTCATTTACTTAACCATTCATTCATTCACAAACCCTGATATTAAAAGTATTGATATTATGTTTTGTATATACAAGACAGTTGACCTATCTACATGTCTATTTCTATCAATTATTATATTTCACTTTATATGACTACAAGTTTGAATGAACCAATTCAACCTGTGTCAGGTTTAAAGGGAACGTTTGGCCTAATTTTATATTTTAGCAGTTAAGAGGGCCCAAAGTTTGAGGTTTTTTATCTTTTTTATTAAAATTCAGATGTTTTTTAGGGCTAGAAACTGTCCGATTGATTCATAATACTCTTAAGAGATCAGATAACAATGGAGCAAATTGTAGAAATCTAGATTCTTAGAATATATCCAGATTTTAGCAAATACTGTCATCCATCTGGTTAATAAATCTAAATTGACCAAACAGATGGATTTAAGTTAAGTTGAATAAATAATACCATTTCATTTCACAATATTGTATAACTGAATTTAAATCCAGTTTTTTTATTTTTATTGCAATCTGATTGGCTGATTAAACAAGAATCAAACTTTCTCTTTCATTGGCAAATGAAGCAAGATTGATCTCAGTAATTGACCAATCAGAAGAAGATTATGGGAAATACAGTACCGGTAATTTGATTGACCAATCAGATGACCTGATTTCTTAAATCTTTCCAAGTTTAAGGCCCAAACTGGCTAACTGAGAAAATATGGAGGTAGCTGAACAGTCTCTTTAAAGTGATACTACGTCTTAGAATGAACATAAAAATTGAATTCTCAAGAATGGTCAATATGAGTATATATTCATCAGTAAACTTACCTGGTGTCATAAAGTTACAACAGAATCCCTGTAAAATCTAGAAAATTGGAAAATTCATAAGATTAAGTAATTATTGAAAAACTCTTAATCATAATATTAATTGCATTTTTA